GGTGTCACCCAAAGAAACCCCATGCACGTGATCAAGCTGCTCTCAAAGCCCCTAATTCCTGCTCATGGTTCCCTTTGCTTCAGACCCAGAGTTCTGGCAGCAACAGCTGCATTCAGCTGGGATGACGCACACAGGAATTTCCAAGGGGGGGAATATGGTCGTTGAGCTGTAAAACCCTGGATGAGGCCACAGAGGTCACATTGGCCTCAGCACAGATGCCTGCGTCCAGGCTGGCCTTGTCACAACCCCCCAGGCAGGGAGTGTCCCTGGTGCCCCTCAGCATACCAGGACCCCGACCGAGGCTGTTCTCCAACTCCAGCTCCAGCACAGGACGAGTCTCTTCACCAGCCCTCAAAAACCCTGGTCCTTCCCCTCTCCGCCCACATGAGTCCTGGCTGCCCACTGTGCCTTGCTGCAGCCCCACCAGTCCCCTGCTGTGCCCCCTAAGCCGAGCTGCCTCTGCCCAACCTGCCAGCAGCACCTGCAGGTGCCCTTTGCTGTTTGGCAAGGCACAGAAAGATGTGCCAGCGTGGCCACGGTTCAACAGTGAGAGGAGCATGGAGCAGCCCCTGGGCTGTGCCACTGCCTGCATGGGATGGGGTGCAGGAAGCAAAGGTCATGCTTGGCAGGGTCTCAGGGCACAGCAGTGGCATCACCATGGGGTCCCTGTGAGCAGGGAGTGCACCTCACCCTTGACACGGTCACCCTTCACACTCTCAGCTGTGCTGGGCTCCCTGTGACCTCCCTGCACCACTGACCTTGGGCATCTCAGGGTCACCTCCCACCAGTCCTGGGGCAAAGTGAGGTGAGAGACAGCCCCAGTGCTGACCCCTCCACAGCACCCATCTGCTGGGACACATCTGCAGCCAGCGACGTGCCGGAACCCAGCCACCGGCCTGTCCCCACGGAGGAATGGTGCTCGGTGAAGGGCAATGGGTGTGCCCAGCACATTGTGGAGGCTTCCCACGCTCTGCTCCCCCTGAGGCCATGCTTGCCCGCGGGGACCCAGCCAGCTGTCCCCTGCGGCTCCACAGGCAGACATGGCAGGATGCGGGCACCAGGCCGGGACTGGGGCAGGCAAGCACCAGGTCCCCAGGATGGGCACAGCCATGGACAGGCCCCCAGGTGCTCTGTGCCAGAACACCCCCCTGGCACACTGCCAGGACAGCAGCCTCCAGAGAACATCCTCCTGACCAGTCCTCCCCCATGGGTTCCCATCCCACAAACCCATCTAATCGCTCGTCACACCTGGGCAGTTCTGGGCTCCCTGTGGCTATGGGGTGACCCCAGCCCATGGCCACATCTCCCTCTCCCCATGGGGGTGCTGAGGGTGCTGTCCTCCCACCGGCTGTAGCCTGGTTGCCAGGGCTGGACAGGGCCAGGTAAATAATTTCTCAGGCAGGAACGTCGCGTGGCCGTCACCGCCTCGGGCACAGCTGTGACACGCAGCGTCAGAGAGTTTCGGCACACGCAGGTTGTGCGTGGCCCCTCCCCGGTCCCATGCGGATATAAACCCCCACCAACCTGTGCTGCCCATCCGTACCTGTGGCACCGCCATGAAGACCGTGGTCGTTTTGCTCGTGGGCATCCTGGCCCTGTGTGCCCATCTCCAGGCGGCTCCTACTGGGGGCAAAGGTGAGTGCTGGGCATTTCGGGGTGGCCGCTCCCACTGGCTCCGGGAGCGCTGCAGGGCTGGCTGGGGCCAGGGTGCCAGTGAAATGAGCAGGTAGGAGCACTCCCATCAGCACAGAGCCAGGCACTTCCCCAGCTCCAGAGCACCCACGCACCACTGAGGCTGCGGCCGTGCCTCGGAGCAGGGTCGCCGAGGTCTGCGCCGTGTGGGCAGCGTGGGCAGCGGGGGGCTCAGTGGTGGTAGGATGTGCCAGTGTGGTGGGAGCCCTCCGCTGCTGGCAGATGCACAGCTGGACCCGAGGGGCCAGATCCCCCATGCGCCAGCCCATACCCGTGGTGTGGGGACCCTACACTGCTAGCTGAGGGGCCCAGCGTCTCCAGAGGATGGCGTGTCCCTCTCTATCCCTGTACTTGCTGCCCCTGCTCTGTGCCAGCAGCGGGAAGCTGGGTCCCTGCTCAGGTGCCCCTTTTAATCATTGACTGCATTCCCTCAGCAGTCAGGAGACGTGACTCCGGCACCTTCCCTGCTGCCATGCAGGAGTCACAGTCACGCGCGAGGCTTGGGCGCAGCCAGCATGACCAGGGTTAGCAGTAGTGGGCACAGCTCCCCAGGGATGTGGTAGGGAAGAGCCTCTGGGGTCATGCTCAGGTCTGCTGAGACCATGTTCTCAGCCAGAATCCTCCCCTCGCCATGGGGACAGTAGCCCGCAGCCCTGCTGGCAGACCCCTGCGTTCCCAAAGCTGCCCTCAGCCTGTTCTGAGGAAGCACCTGGCAGAGCCAGGGTGGGGACGGCAATATACCGAATGCCACACACTGGGGACAGGAGCCAAAGCACTCCTGTCTCCCGGAAGGTGATGATGACTGCGTGGGCTGGAGCCACTGGCGCTGTCACCAGCATGCTCACTCCAGCTGCTCTGGCTGACTGGGGGCAGCCCCAGCTGGATCATCCCCTCAGCAGCCAGCCAGGCACCCTGGGACTGAGGCGCAACCATGGGCAAACCCACTGGCACGCACGCTGCTCCCCACAGCTCTCATCTTCCTCTGTGGTTTCCCCCTCATCTCCTGCCATGAGCCCATTTCTGGACTCCTGTCTGCTCCTGTCCAGCTGTCTGCTGCAGCCCCACTGCTGGCATCCACCCTCACACCCTCACAAGCGCCAGCTGCTCACTGCCAGCACCAAGGTCACCCCACGCTGAGGTCACCCTGCACTGGGGCAAAGCCGTCACAGGGTCAGACCAGGGCAATGACCCTCAAGGACAGCACTGGCATGGGAACTGCAGCTCAGCCATGGTGGGACACCAGGGCAGCCCCTCCCTGACACTGGGGACAGTGACCCTGGGTGTGCAGTGTGGGAATGGCAGCAGTGCTGCTGCTCCAGGGAAGCTGCTGCTGGGTCCAGGTGGGCTCTGATGCTGCATATCATCATGCAAGGACAGAGCTTCCATTCCGGTGGGCAGCGCTCCCACCTCCCAGCCATTACCACCCCTATCCCACCCCACCACCACGGCATCATGTCCCAGCCCTGGTGCTAGGGCCACTGGGCTGCAACACAGTTGCCTTGATTCATGGCATCCCAAAGTCAGCCCAGCCCAGCTCCCCAAACAGTGTTACCACTGGGACCCAGAGTGGGAGCATCCCAGTCAGCCTGAGCATGGCCAGGTCCTGGCAGCTGCCTGGCAGGTCCCCATCCCAGAGGGCACAGGGACAAAGACTGCCCTGCTGATCTCCTTGCTGCTCCAAGCCTCTGCCTATCCCCCCGTGTTGCTCCCGCTGTGGTGACACGCGGCACAGTGGTGGGGCAGGAGGCTGAGCCATCTGTGCCGGCTCCTGTTCCTGCATAAACACCCAGGCAGGGAGGGGACCACAGGCAAAGGCAAACAGTTACTGATTTACTGCCATGCCACCATGCCACATTGTTGACTGTGGGGTTAAATTACCTGGAGACGGACCCCGCCAGAGCAGACACCAGCTCGTGACTCAGGCAGGGATCATGTCCCAGCCCCAGGCACCCCTGGCCCATGCAGGTTTGCAGGATGCTCCAACTCGGAGCTGGGGCTGCCTCTGCAGACTCTGCCAGCAGCAAGGGCACATCACCAGGGACAGGGCTGGTCTCACCCTCCTACAGGCGGCTGTGGAGGAGATGGGCACTGGCAGAGTTGGCCACGTTGGGTGGGCGAGCTGGGCCTGACCAAACCAGCCCAGGCTCAACACTGGCAGGCACCGTGAAGTGTCCTGGCCCACCAGACATGCTCTGGGCAGGGTATCCTGGACACACTGAGGGGTTCCGGGGTTGTACAGCCCCAGCACCACCAAGTCCCGGAGCACTGGGTGCATTTGCCCATGGTTCATTCCCCACCAGCCACTTGCCCATCCGGTGCTGCCAGACAGTCTGTCCGCATCCCTGGGGCTGTGGGAGACTGCAAGGATGATGGGGGCCATGGGATGAGATGGCAGCCGGGCAGAGCTCCCATGGCTGCTCTGGGGAAGTGCAGGGGAGCCCTGGGTTGGGCGTCTGCCCAAGGCACAGACAGCCTGGAGGGCCCTTCAGTTGAGGACCCAGAGCAGGAGGAGAACAGCATCTGGAACAGGAGCAGGAATTGGGTGAGCAGCAGCAGAGCCAATCTGCAGCCCTGTCTGCACCATCAGTTCCTCCTGGCCTCTGGACATTGGTGACCCAGGCCAGGGGCTCCATTCAAGCTCATGACTGTGGCCAGGGCAGCACAGGGTGAGTCCAAGTAGGGACAGGTCGTGCCCTGTCCCTGGTGCAGCCGCGCCTGCTACGCTGCCCGCAAGCAGTACCACTGCATCCCCATGGCCGATCCCTGTGTGGGGCTATGGCAGCCCAGCACTTCAGTGGGATCAGTCTGGAGCTGTCTGGGGTCCAGCGTGCAGGGGCTGCAGCCGGTGGTGGTTGGCTGCCATTCCTGCCGGGCGAGTTCTCAGCATGGCCGCCCGGTCTCCTCGAGGCTCCCCCTCCCTGGTCGGCAGCCAGGAGCGGCAGATACCTGATACTCGGGTTGTGCAAGCGCGAAGGGGGAGCCTGGCCCTGCCCGGCCCTTGGGAACCACCCGGAAGGCCGAGCCCGCCAGCCCCACCTGGAGAGGAGCTTAAAGGCCGGCCGGGCGGCCGCAGCGCAGCCGGTTCCTGCACCATGCCCACGGCCCGCAGCGTCCTCATCTTGGCGGGGCTCCTGGCTCTCTGGGCAGAGCTGCCGGCAGCATCCGCCCAGAATGTCACCAGTGAGTAT